CATTCGGACACGCCATCTCATGGCAGGAAGCCATGAGCACGGCGGAACGGTTGAGGAGCAAGTGCACGTCACGAATGCTCTTCGACCAAAGCGAGCTCGCCAGCTCAGTCAGCAGCTCTCGCACACAGCCTTCTGACTTTCAGCATCGTTCTGCTTTCTAATTGATCAATGTTCAGATGTCACGCAAACTTTTATTGAGCGTTAACCGGATCACCCTGCCCTAGTTCCTTCCTGGTCGTCATTGATGACTCGACAGCTGTCCCGGTCGGGAAAGTCCGCGATTTTCCCATTGCATATGAGGCTGGTATTCACCCGAGACACGGGCGGCATTTGCCCCCTAGAAACCGAGTTCGAATAGAAACGCGTAGGGATCGGTCTGGGAAGGGTTGTTGCGTACATACGGCATCAATCAAGGCGTTATCACCTGCTCGAAAGAAATCCGAACCCCGTCCCTGTTAATGGCCTCGGGTTCTCACGCTGCTGCACGAGCTCGACTCGTCGGAACCCTCTACTCGGAATTCCGAGTAGAAGAATCCGCTATAGGGGCGCCAACACCAGGAATCCCGATCAACATCGAGAACACCCCTAAGGAACGAGCGCGCTTTCCGAGCCTCGCCTCTCGCCCATCTCCGTTCGCAATCTATCGCTGAAGAAGTCGAACATATCTGCCCTCGGAAGACCGCTCATTATTTCGAAATCTAGGTATTTCTTCCGGTTGTGTCATGTGCGGTGCACGGCCAGGCGGCATATCGCATGACCCCCCGCCGCTCTTCTTCAATTAACGCCCCAACTCTAATCTAGCTCTCTCTCCCACTGGCATCTCACCGCGAGTTCCGAAATAGAAACCCATGAAATTCATGCGCATATAAGCAGAGTTCGAGTCGCGTTCAAGTCAGTGTCCCAATCGGCTCGGTCTCTGTCGTCGCTGTAATCCTTCTTTCTACAGGATCGGAGGCTCACAATCCTTTCGCTATCCCACTGAAGAACGGTCATACTCACGGTTAAGAAGTCAGCTATCGTTTCTTGAGAACACTTCTGATGGCTCCGAATCAGAATGTCAGCCATGTGTGTTACCTGAGCCTGCTGTGTCCATTGATGTAAGTCGAATGTTGCGAACGAATATGTGGAAACCGATCCCTCGATTCGTATCGAATTAGAAGGCATTCGCTCCGGACTCCACTGAATCTTGGGATAGCTGTAAAGCTTCAGTTCCGAGACATCATCCATCATGGAGTCAGCACCGCGGTCTCTCTAACTTCTCTCCTTCTGGTTACAGGATCGCCGAGCGACGCATGGAATTATTCATCCAATATAATTATGGACTATGCCCGACCGAAGGACAGAATCAGACCAATCAGCAAAATCGGGAAGGCCAGACTTTGCGCGGTCAAGTAGCTCCGACGGTCGATGACACGGACCGGGTGCACAATGAACTCGTGAGGCGATTTGCGGATATACGCCTCGATAATTTGGACGAGCGCCGACGAAACAATCCTGAATTGCGCGATGAATAGCTCCAATGGGAAGGAGCGGTATGATATCGAATATATGAAGAAATAAACGTAACTTCCTCTGTAAAATCTGTCTTGGCGGTCCGTAAAGCAGACTAGTCCACCCTACCGAAAGGTGGAGTTCTTGCTTCATTCTCGCTGGTGTCCTCCGGGGCATTCCGACCCCGGATGATGATAAAGCCAAGTAGTTTTCTTTTTTTCTGTAGCTCGGAATCTCGGAACCATCGGGTGAGTCAATCCATTGCGGGGGTGCGATGCGAACATAGGTATGAGTTGAGATTCCGCGGCGAGCGAGGTTCATGACTGAAGAGGATGGCGCCCGGGTACAGCTCAGCGCTCCTCTTGCGTGGCGAGGGGCTTATTCGGAGGTCACGACCATCGGGAAATTCGTCCAAGAGGCGATTTTCCGTGGGGATAACATTGAGGCGGGAATATCGATCCAGCCGATCGCCCCAGTTGAATGTATAGATTGCGACAGCGAAGGAAATCAGGTGTACCTAGTTCGCGGACCTATCGGAGTCCCTTATTATGAGTATTGGAGTGCTTCGGCGGTGCATGAGCCTGTGCAGAAAGAGTCAGCGACTTCAGTTCTGACTGAAGTTGTTAGTCACGGAGGACTGCATAGGTTGTCCATTTATTCATGTAGAGATAGGAAGGTTGCATAGTGATAGCTGAAATAAGTTGTATTGATCATCATGGTATGATGAGGTGTATTTCTGGTGAAAATCAAATCGATTGTTGTGTCGTATGTACGAAAGAACGGAACACCTGAAAAGGACATACAACTGCGATACAATCGAAGTTGCATATTCAGTCTCGGGAGCACCATGTTCGAATACCTATAACTCTCAGATGAAGAAGAAAAGCTTCCAATCGTACGGGAAACCACAAGCTCTCCAGTCTCCAAACGACAGCTCGTCCTCGGCGATACTCGTGATCTTGGAATCGGTCGATGAATACATTCCCGAGATAAGTTCCTCCTTCACAGATATTCGGGCTCGTAGAAGAGCTCCTGGATTCGGCGCGACGATTCAGCGCGGGAAACGCCTACTGTCTCCCCGGAAAGTTATGGAAAACATCCCGGATGGTCCAGACCTGCTTCGATTCATCGATCGGATAAAACAGCCGTGAGCGACAGCACATTTCATGCACCGCATCCCTCTATAAGAAAACACCTTCAAGAGCACCGCTCATTGGAGAGGCCGTCCCGCGGTCTTATTGTCGTATCCCGTCTGGCCGGTGAATTGACTCCTGTGGAGGGCTGCGGCAGGACATGTTTCGCCCTTCCAATGCTACCGAAGCTTGTCTGGATCTTACAGAGTATTGTGGATTTTGAAGCTCAAGAAATCATCCCTCTTCCACACCGTGGGCACCACTTTGAAATTTTATCCAAGCGTAAAAACGGAAAGATTCCTCGGATTGGCCATCGAATCGGAGAAAAGGGTGAGTGTCCTCGTATGGTTGTTGCGTACATACGGCATCAATCAAGGCGTTATCACCTGCTCGAAAGAAATCCGAACCCCGTCCCTGTTTATGGCCTCGGGTTCTCACACTGCTGCACGAGCTTGACTCGTCGGTACCCTCGATGGATAAATTCCGAGTAGAAGAATCCGCTACAGGGGCGCCAACACCAGGAATCCAGAGCAACATCGAGAACACCCCAAAGGGACGAGCGCGCTTTCCGAGCCTCGCCTCTCGCCCATCTCCGTTCGCAATCTATCGCTGAAGGAGTCGAACATATCTGCCCTCGGAAGACCGCTCATTATTTCGAAATCTAGGTATTCCTTTCGGTTGTGTGATGTCCGGTGCACGGCCAGGCGGCATATCGCATCGACCCCCCCCCCGCGCTCTTCTTCAATTAACACCCCAACTCTAATCTAGTTCTCTCTCCCACTGGCATCTCACCGCGAGTTCCGAAATAGAAACCCATGAAATTCATGCGCATATAAGCAGAGCTCGAGTCGCATTCAAGTCAGTGTCCCAATCGGCTCGGTCTCTGTCGTCGCTGGAATCCTTCTTTCTACAGGATCGGAGGCTCACAATCCTTTCGCTATCGCACTGAAGAACGGTCATACTCACGGTTAAGAAGTCAGCTATCGTTTCTTGAGAACACTTCTGATGGCTCAGAATCAGAAAGACAGCCATCTGTGTTACCTGGGCCTGCTGTGTCCATTGATGTAAGTCGAATGTTGCGAACGAATATGTGGAAACCGATCCCTCGATTCGTATCAAATTAGAAGGCATTCGCTCCGGACTCCACTGAATCTTGGGATAGCTGTAAAGCTTCAGTTCCGAGACATCATCCATCATGGAGTCAGCACCGCGGTCTCTCTAACTTCTCTCCTTCTGGTTACAGGATCGCCGAGCGACGCATGGAATTATTCATCCAATATAATTATGAGCTATGCCCGACCGAAGGGCAGAATCAGAACAATCAGCAAAATCGGGAAGGCCAGACTTTGCGCGGTCAAGTAGCCCCGACGGTCGGCCACACGGACCGGGTGCACAATGAACTCGTGAGGCAATTTGCGGACATACGCCTCGATAATTTGGACGAGCGCCGACGAAACAATCCTGGATTGCGCGATGAACAGCTCCAATGAGAAGGAGCGGTATGATATCGAATACATAAAGAAATAAAAGTAACTTCCTATGTAAAATCTGTCTTGGCGGTTCGTAAAGCAGACTAGTCCACCCTACCGAAAGGTGGAGTTCTTGCTTCATTCTCGCTGGTATCCTCCGGGGCATTCCGACCCCGGATGATGATGAAGCCAGGTAGTTTTTCGTTTTCTGTAGCTCGGAATGTCGGAACCATCGGGTGAGTCAATCCATTGCGGGGTGCGATGCGAGCATAGGTATGAGTTGAGATTCCGCGGCGAGCGAGGTTCATGACTGAAGAGGATGGTGCCCGGGTACAGCTCAGCGCTCCTCTTGCGTGGCGAGGGGCTCATTCCGAGGTCACGACCATCGGGAAATTCGTCTAAGAGGCGATTTTCCGTGGGGATAACATTGAGGCGGGAATATCGATCCAGCCGATCGCTCCAGTTGAATGTATAGATTGCGACAGCGAAGGAAATCAGGTGTACCTAGTTCGCGGACCTATCGGAGTCCCTTATTATGAGTATTGGAGTGCTTCGGCGGTGCATGAGCCTGTGCAGAAAGAGTCAGCGACTTCAGTTCCGACTGAAGTTGTTAGTCACGGAGGACTGCATAGGTTGTCCATTTATTCATGTAGAGATAGGAAGGTTGCATAGTGATAGCTGAAATAAGTTGTATTGATCATCATGGTATGGTGAGGTGTACTTCTGGTGAAAATCAAATCGATTGTGGTGTCGTATGTACGAAAGAACGGAACGCCTGGAAAGGACATACAACTGCGATACAATCGAAGTTGCATATTCAGTCTCGGGAGCACCATGTTCGAATACCTATAACTCTCAGATGAAGAAGAAAATCGGAGAGACCCAGGAGAGCGTCTGGAGACAGGACATGATGCTGAAATCAAGCCTCGAAGTTTACCGGCTAGGCAAGAACAGCCTCGGTATCCAAACCTTCCTCTACGGAAACCGAAGAGGGGACACTCTCCTGGCCTTGGCCAGAGCTGGAATATTACCGACGAAAAGCCGAGGTAGGTCTATTGACCCACAGCAGGAGGACACCTGCCTCAGATGCGGAACATTTGAAGAGACCGTAAACCATGTGATCTTCGAGCGCAATGACGCATACGACACGGACGAAGATTTCCTCTCAAGACTAGGCCTCCACGAGGAAAAGCAGGGCCCTTCGATTGTGACAAAAACTCAACGAATACTAGAAAAATGGGAGAAGGAGACCAAGGATCTGCTTTTAGCGCCTGACATGAAAGGCTGATGCGTCATCTTGTAACATACATACCTAGAAGACCCATCTAGATCAATAAATCACCATTACCATCACCAATACCGCCGGTATGGAAAAGAAATCAAGTGAAGTCAATGTCCTGCAAAACCGTTATTTGATGAATGCGATCGAGTGACTATCGGTGTAGATGGGACTCACTCAGCCGGATGTTCAATCTAAGTGCTGGTGCTGCTGCTGTGCTTTCCAATTCTGAGATCGCCCTTGAGTGTCTTCATTGCGATTGTCGGTGTATGAGCATGGCAGACTCGAGGCTCAAAAGTCAGGAGCAGGCTCAAGACTTAATTACCTACGGAGGACTCGGATTGAGGAAGCCTCGCTCTATCGATGTGACGCCGCTGTCGATTCGTGTTGCGCTTGGCCGATTCTAGGTGCGTGATTGGTCCAGAACGCTCACAAAACAGAGGAGCCGATGCTAGATGTGTGATTGGTCAATCTCGGCGACGTCAGAATCGCGTCAAAATGACGTAGTGATTCTTTGTGCGGGGTCCCTATATTCGTGCGACGAAGAACGCAGTCCTCCGTCAAAACATCGAGTGAGCAGGGAAAGCGCTCCGCGGAAGGAAAGGGGGCCACGGAAGGCATCCCGGTTCTCCGAAGGAGATAGCAGGCTGCTGAGTACGGAGGAACAATCTTATGATCGAGACGGGGCGACTACAAAGCCGCGATGCGAATCTTCAGCCTTGTTAAGGGCAAGATCCGTTCACGTTCATGTCAAGTACGGCTCGTCGGTTTACGCGGGCATGGAGTGTGAGCGTTGACCTTGATTCGCCCTCATCTCATTCGGCGTGGGGGAGGAGTTCATCGAGTGCAGCCGACAACTTTCCTGATGTTTTCAAAAGCTTCCAATCGTACGAGAAGCCACAAGCTCTCCAGTCTCCAAACGAGAGCTCGTCCTCGGCAATACTCGCGATCTTGGAATCGATCGATGAATACATTCCAGAGATAACTTCCTCCTTCACAGATATTCGGGCTCGCAGAAGAGCTCCTGGAATCGGCGCGACGATTCAGCGCGGGAAACGCTTACTGTCTCCCCGGAAAACTATGGAGAACCTCCCCGATAGTCCGGACCTGCTTCGATTCATCGATCGGATAAGTCCGCCGTGAGCGACAGCACATTTCATGCACCGCATGCCTCCATTAGGAAACACCTTAGAGAACACCGCTCATTGGGGAAGCCGTCCCGCGGTCTTCTTGTCGTATCCTGTCTGGCCGGTGAGTCTGACTCCTGTGGAGGGCTGCGGCAGGACATGTTTCGTGGCACACGACCTCGTTCCAACGAGCCCGAAGTTGTGAAAAGCGAAAAAAAAATTGCGACGAACTCGTAAGCTGGCCAGCGCTTGTGCGCCTTCTCCCCTTTCTCGTTCTTTTTCGTACGGACTCCGAGTCGCGTTCCGCAGAGTCCACAAGGACCGGCTTTAGGAACACGCGCATCATACGGATGGACTCCGAAGATGAAGCGAGTGACGGAGGGGGAGGTAATAAAGTAAGCCGATTTAGTTCGCGTTGCAAAATGACTTTGTGGGTGGACGGACCACGCGACAACATAGCAACCGCCATCGACGCCGACGCAGCCCTCTACCGTTGCTTTTTGTCTCCGGAAAAGCTTGCGGACGACGGTAGGAACATTTCTGAACGAAACGCGTACGGAGCGGGCAACCGTGCTCACACTGATTTCGGAAGAAGGAAAGGAATAGTGTCGATCACCGGGAACCTGCCCCTAACGGGACCCAAGAGCTCTGGGAACACATTTGTGGGTTGAAGAGATTCTCCTTATTCGTTCCGTCTGAAACAGGGAATTCCTTTCAGAAGACAGGCGTCCTTTCGAGATACACCATACGACGAGGAGGGTTCAATAATTGCCCTCCGTCGTCCCATGCCCCCTGCACTACGTATTGTCGTTTCAGAGCGGCTGGAGCGTGATCCATTCTCGGTTGTTTGACCCGTCGACGTCGGTCCTCTGTGAGGTGGCAGACATTACCCTCTTGGTTAATTCTCGAGATCCTACAATTAGCTCCCACGAGCCTCGGAATTCCTTACACGAGCTCTGGGACCAATTCCTTTCAGGATACGACCCCGACAAGATTGGATGAAAAAGTGAAACGCTCGGGGAATTGATTTTTTAAGTGCACGGTCTCAGTCTCCCACCTCTTGTCCTAGCGCCAGGCATCCATGAGCAGGTTGTCACAAAATGTTGAAAACCCGTTCGAAACCCTCCCAGGGCCGGCGTGAGGACCCCGAAAGCGTCGAGGAGGGCGAATGAGGTAGAGATGGCGAGCGAATGAGAGGCCCACGCACGGAGGGAAACAGTCATTCTGAGAAGACCTCGGTCGGCCCCATTACAGCGGTCCGCTTCGAGGTGCCACTTCCTTCATGGCCTCCTTCCTGTATGGGAAGGCTCGCGTGCGTTATCTAGTTTGCTACCAAGCAGTCTATCACGACCCTGTTCGAGTGCTCGGAAATCTCCATCTGCTCCTACATCTAGTGATTCCTCGTCGTTATGCGCGCACTCGCCCCGCTAGCACGCCTCTCCAGGCGGACTGTCTGCTCGTCCGTCCGACGGCCGCGGACCAACCCCTCCACACCGTTACCCGCCTGATGCCGCCGCCCCTCCGTTCGAAAGACCGACAGAACCCCTCTTTACCTTATCCGGCCCGGTTGTCCGCCGGAGTTTGCCTCCTGAATAACGAAGAGCATGGAAGTGTTTGCGTCACGAATGCCCTTCTAATGTGAGCAGATTGAACGGGTGCATGGATGAATGAATGAGTGAGTGCGGAGAATTGATGGATGGATGGACAGAGGAGCTTGTACACTAGCAATATCCCAGAATTCACTGAGGGGCGGGAGCGCGTCAAGATGAAGGGGCGGTTCAGAACAAACAACTCATCGAGGACTTCAGCTGGGGCATCAGGATATTACTGTGGCTAAGGCTGGAGAACTTTCTCCCTCCGGAGTCTGCAGCGATCTCTATCTTTGCTCGTGGCTGTGAAACTCGGTTAACTGATGCTCCAATCGCATGAGACCACAATATAATGAGAGCATCATCATGTCATAGGTTTCGCGAATTGAGATAAGCTACCCACAGCATCGAAACCTTTCCGCAATAGCGGAGGAGTAGCCGAGCGCGAGAGCCTTCAAGTCTGTGGGGGAGACAAACTCGGTATTCAATGACATCGGGGCTCACCTCAAGTACACAACATGACACGTCGACGGGTTCCGTCTCTCAACCTATCGAGCGCATAAAGCAGGACTCATGATTCGGGACCAGGGTGCACCCCACCCGGATCCTTGAGAATGGGTGGAGGAATTTTTCCGGAACGGACGATAATACATTCGATCGTCGTGCTTAGGACGCCTGCAAGTCACAATTCTCGCAACGCGCCTCGCATCGATAAGAGTGCTCGCGTCCGGAATGAACGAGGAAATGAACGAGGCAGAGGAACCTGCTTATGGAGCCGCGGTCGAGGGAAATGAATATTTTGCACCGGAGTAGCAACTATTCTCAGTTTTCCGCTGAAATCAATCGAGTGATGTGGCATGGACAAAGAATTGAACCATTGCTGACAGCGAGTGTCTTCATACCCAAGCCGATCAAGCTGCATCTCTCGACCTGCGAGTCAAGGCGAGAGACTACTCGACAGCTCGCTCGGACTCATTCTTCGGTTCTCCGGCCCGAAAAACACAGAGCGTGATATGATGAAAACTCAACATCAAAATGCGTGAGAGGTCGAATGACTTAAGAGCTCATGGATGAGGCGTGTCCCGAGAGCGCCAAGAAAAGTAGTCATCGGAATCGAGGATAATCCGAGAACGGCGAAACGCCGAAGGACACAAGCAACATCTCCTAGAGCCCGTCATCAGTCGGGATGAAGAGGATCCGGGAATTCGACCTTGCATAGCCCATGTCGGAGCTCAGATCCTTGTATCGTCATATCGACGGATACGGCGACTTGACACCTCTGTGGTCCGCCCCGGCAATTTGGATGCGACAGGTCGATTCCGGACTAAGATTCCGACGGTCTATTCTACATCAATCGGAGATGCGAAAACAGTCGATAAACGAGCGCGTATTGTTCCTAAATCGGGGGTCTAACTCGAATATTCCCTCGATTAGGGAGGCTTTCCCCCGCGATATCTGGACCGTCCCTCTGCCAAGCGGCCGTTCTACTCTCCTACTGTTTCTATTCCGTAGTTTCCAGATGGAGCCAAACGTCGCCGTCGAGCATTCTTCCCACCGCAAGCTCCCCGACGAGCCAAAGGCGTACACGCCGTTCGACCGTGTGTTTCGTGTGGATACTCGAGCGTGAAATTCAAAATTCTCCCGAAGCGTATCTTCTTTCCGTTATCTTGTCGTTTCTCCCCGGATGGAGGACGCTGTCGCAAGGTGGGTCCCTTCGGCCACGGTTTTTGGGAACCGGGAGACTAAGGCGGAAAAAGAGAGATGTTCGAGGAAGGATGGATATAGTCGGGAAAAATGGGCGAGAGGAAACGGAGGCAAACGATGGGCATCAGACGAAAGCATCTTGTCTTGCGGGACGTACACTCGTCGGAAGCAGGTACCCTCATTCGTCCGCCGAGTCGCTTCGTAGTCCTCTCCCCGTCCCTGCCCATAGCCTGAGAAGATTCCATGCGCTCGGGTACAGGTATTGATGTGACCCCGTTGGTCTCGAATCAAAAACAGCTCTCGCTTTCAAGCTCCCCGAGCCTCTCCGAGATGAGACACCAGACAACTGGCAATAGAAGAACCGCTTAACAATAGGGAAATGCGCAATGGGGCTGCTCGCAATCTGTGTTTTCATTTCGGGCCGAGCCGAACGCGCATATTCGAGCGGGGGAGGGAGGCGGGGCGGGGCGGTGACGACATCTTCTCCTTGAGAAATCGAAGCGTAGCCTCGTATCTCGCTCGCTAGCATATATGGGGCGCCTGGGATTTCCAGGGTCAGATCATGCCGCGGGACAAGGTGAAGACGAGC